TCAGAGTAAGACCCCTTTACCTGGTCCAATCGGGAGGGGATCTGTGCATGGATTCCCTGCTGATTGGAACGGAAGTCACTGCTGTGACATCTGTGACCGTCCATTGTTTTGTTCCATCTTGTGATGGAAGGAAAAAACTGAAATTACCAGACCTATTTAGAATGATGGGAATCGGATGTAAGCGGACTTCTGTCCTTTTACATCAGATTACCCCAAATCCGGCATGATCAGGTCCAAGGAAATAGAACTCTAATCTGTTTGTTTTTCTGGACCCGGCCAGAGCTGGGAGTAACCGGATGTAAACCATAGACTAACATTGGGCTTCCGATCAGGTCATCTTGAAAAAACCTGACAGGCAGGCCTGATCGGAAAGCACACGTGAAAGGGTCTAAGAGGTAAACTAAAGTTATTTTGTTGGTAGAAACATGTTCTGCATTCTACCACTATAAGGAAATAGAGGTTACCTCAATACACTTTCCCCAATCCAAACTGAATGATATTTCTTTAACAACAACTGGTAAGATCAACATATATAAACTTTGTCCTTACTTTGACATCATCTCAATAAGTTTTTTGCTTTATGTAAAATGAGTGAATTTATATAAAAGATGGACATGCACTGTTGCGCTGCATGACGGAATAAACGTCAGTCAAAGTACCGCAGCGCTGAATACTGAAAAATGGCCTGGCCAGGAAGGGGGTCTAAACACCTGGTCTTGAAGTGGTTAATGATTCAGTTTTTAATGCTAAGCGGACCCATACTATCTGCTTTCGTAATGCCGACCACGGACGTGGCAAAATGATTGAGATTATTGATCTTTCAACAGAAGGTTTTAGTCCCTTCTCTGTCTGTGTAGATCTTTTAAGTTTGCATCCACCTACCCCAATCAATTTTATGCATAACAATGTGTTCTAATTTGCTGTTTATTTTTGTACAAGATTAACATAATAATGATAACAGAAGGCATCTTCTTGCATTCAAGGAGACCCCATACTGCGTTCTTCCTTTTTAAAGGCAGGACAAAGCACAAGTTCATTTCCTGTATCAGCTGAAGTTGTTCTATGAACATAGATATGAAAAAAACAACTAAAACTATTATTATAAAACTCTAAATTTTTTACTTTTATTCATCTTGGACTTGAACCTCAGCTGGGTAAACAAACCGGAAACTCTGACTCATCTGTTCTCCGAATCCCTGCTTACAGCCCCAAGAAGTAAATGCTAAATTATGTATTGCAATTAATATAGTGAAGGATCTACATCAATTACATGATGAAGTACTATACCTAATAATGGTGTACTTTGTACTTTGTGTAAGCAAGGGGAGTCACATATAGATTTCCCCAACAACATTAAAACCGGTCCTCCAATGGAATCCCCCTCACTTCCCATCCCAAATAAGGAGTAAAAAAGGAAGGACTTTAGCTGATTACTCGCTTTCATCTTGGAGGGGGGCAAAAGACAGAGAGACAAAAGTTAAAGCCATACTCCAGAAAAAAAAAAAAAAGGAGCATTTACACACTGCACTAGTTTTGTAAATTATCATTTAAAAGTCGAGTATTAAGAATGAAGAGCTGCTGCAAAGCATCAGAATATTACCCTGCAGCATGCTGTCTTCTACCCATAACACTGTTTTTCAGGGCACTGTGACGAGTGAGGGATGTGGCGCAAGTGGTAAAGTGCTCCAGTTGCCCCACCCACCTCTCCTAACTACATATATATATATATATAGTGACAGGGTACACGATTCCTATGGGGCAGCGGATCCCTGGAATCCCGCAGATGCTGCAGTGCCGTCCGTCCGTTTTTTTACTACGGGCGGACGGCAAGAGGTTAAAGCAGACTTTTAATGCAATAAAGCTGCATTTATTGCCAAATACTGATTAAAGACCAGTGACTTTCCTACAATATATATCTTACTGTGCTTGATGCTGTGGAGCTGCACCGTGTCCTGCAACAAGCACTGACTCAAGCCTCCAATGCTAAATAGCAGTCCTAGCAACAGCTGACCTACAGAGTAGGGATGGGCTCGGGCGTGTACGCAGCTCTACGTGCCGAGCCCGCCAGGAAGCCGACAGCGTGTAGCGCCAATCAAAAGGTGCTGAGACATGTTCCCGGTCCGCAGTTGCAGAGATCGGGAAATGTCTCAGTGCCTGTGATTGGCGCTGTCAGCTTCCTGGCGGGCTTGGCAGGTGGAGCTGCGAACACGCCCGAGCCCATCACTACTAAGGCTGGGCACACACCTTACAACCATCGCAAGACTTTTGTCTTGCGATGGTTGTAAGGTACTTAAAAAAACGTACGATCTGCCTATGTTGCATAGGCAGATCGTACTTGCGATGATCGCAAGCCACGCCCCCCTGAGGGGCGGGCTTCCGATGACCGCAATGCCGAACGGGCAGTGTGCGCTTGCGCACACCGGCCCGTACGGCTGTTATCGTACGGACATGCCACAAACCCGCCGAACATCGTACGATGCTCGGCGGGTTTTCGAACATGTCCGTAAGTTTAAAGTCGTGCGACCTTACAGTAGTAGAGGTCGCACGGCTTCCACACACCTTACGATCATCGTACGATCGCGGGATTTCCCGCAATTATCGTACGATAATCGTAAGGTGTGTGGGGACCCAAACAATCATTCCACTTTCAGATGCTTTAGCATAGAGAAAAATATGGCAATCAAGCCATACCTTTCTAAACAAATATACATTATAAAAGGTATTTGCGATGGGCATCTTAT